TCCCCTCCTCTTCGTCTGTTTATGATCTCGGCCTGGCACATTCTTCCTGTGTGTAGTGCCAGCCCCTTTCACACCTTGCGATGATGATGATGCATGTTTCGTCTGCATTGCGACATTGATTGGTCTGATCATTGGTATTTTAGCCTTCCGCTGCGCTATCCTGTACTATGTGAGAGAGGTCGGTTCTTGTTCTGGTCTGCACCATTACGGTATGCGACACCTGTTCCTTACTGGGACTTTAGTTGTAGTTTTTCGACGTCTTGAGGTGTATGTGGGGCTTGACCCATGTACTTGTCACTTGCTGGGGTCTCTCTTCTGGGCAGCCTTAAGACCACTAGGCCGTTTCTTTTCGTCTTTTCTCTTGTTTTTGTGTAGGCCCATAGGTCTTAGTCTTCTGTTTGTCTTAGGTCAAAGTAAAGGTCGGGTCTAGAAATAGGAGGCTGGTGAGGCACTCGGGGTTCCTTCTGCTCATTCTTCTTTTCACGAGCTGGGTGTGAGGTCGCGTTGGAGCTGGAGCGCTATTTTTCAGTTGCGTGGCCGCATCATCTCCACACCCAGCTCGTGGCAGCCCCAACTATGGTCCCCAACTTTGTTGATGGCGCCCAAGTACCGAAAAGGGCCTCCTCTTTCTGTGCTGTTGGGGTTTGCGCAGCTGCCATGAAACAACTCTTTTCAATGTGGCAGGCATTCATCTTCATCGAGTTGTTGTTGTTCTTCTTCTTCTTCATCCTGGGAGCTGCGCTCCCCTGCTGAGTGGACACGTCATCTGCAGCTGGGCTTTGCGAGTGGTGCATAGTGACGTGTTGGATTCAGGAGGATGTGCAGAGTGACGTGCTGGATTCAGGAGGGTGTGTGGCGTTTGCAGGCTTGTCTGGTTGGGCGCTGAAAGTGGAAGTGGCGCATTGCTCGAGCTTGGGGATAGTGGGAGGAAGAAGAAGACTCGTGGATATTCCGATGAAACTTTGCTAAATAATTGGTTTGCAGGTGTTGATAACATGGTTGGGACTCTTGGTGAAATTGGTGTTGCAAATCTAGTGCTGGTGTTTGGGGTAAGATCCGGAAAGGATCTAATCAAAGATTATTTTATTTTTGGATGGTTTGCAGCATGCGGTAAAAGGGAATCATTGTTTGATTTTGCTGTTGGTTGTTGCCTGCCACCTCCCTGAATGCCTATTGACACTCAGCACTAATCTGCCACCTAACCTAACTAACCCCTAGTCCAGGGGAACGCATCAATGAGCACATACACAGTACTGGTTTGTGGATTCAAAAAACAGAATCTTTTTTTTTCTGGAAACATGAACAAAGCTATCAACACTACGCGTCAAATCTTCAGTGCTTTGCAGGCGCTCGCATTAAAAAAATGTGCCCGTCCATTTACATTTCACTTCACTTGCGGTCATCCATTCCATCCGGCAAGGTTCTGTTTAACAACACGGAGAAACGACAATCGATCGACTGATGATAATTGCTAGGTTAGTGTTAACTGGATTTTGTCTCCAAGGAACGATTCCAATTCAGAACTCAGTTTCACTGCTTCTGATCATGGACCAGAGATTGCTTGCTACCAGAAAATCATCTGCGAAGCGGAAGGAAGAGCTCTATCTTGACAAATCGCTTTATATTGCATGCTTTTTAACCATAGTTGCGGCGCAGGTGTGCGCTGTGCGGTGCGCGCCGGTGCGCAGTGTGCTGGTTTAGCAGCGCGCGCACTGTGCGTTGTGCGGTGCGCAGTGCGCACGCTGCAACCTGTAGGCCTGGTCAACGGAAAAAATAAATAAATAATAAACATGCGCCCTGCAGGGCCCGACCAGGTAGGATAGGGGTTCCAAAGGGGCCTTTCGTAGGTAGGCCCTGGCGACTGTTTTGGTGCCAGACAGCAGTAGAGGCCCGGTAGGCGCCCAGGCTGCGGTAGGCCTTTATCAAATTCGACCATTTCAAATTTGGGCGCCAACTTTAGGCGCCAGACCGTTTGGGCGCCAGGTAGTGGCGCCGTTCGGCGTTGGTGAGGCCAGCCTCCCAGCCGGACCAGCACTATACATAGCTGGTCCGCCTAGGACGTCGCATTCAGTCTTCAGGCATTCAGCAGCGGTACTCTCCGGAGATGCTGTACGATAGGAGTAGTCTTCCAGCGCTGGGCACTGCTAGGGCCTTAGGCTAGCGCTAGGAGGGAGGAGCAGAACAGAGGCCAGGGGACTTACCTGGGGACTTACCGGTGACGCCATCGCTCCAGCTTCGTCTTCAGCGTACCTGCATCAAGGCGCCACCTTTCGCAGGTCAGTACCTGCACAGAGAGAAAGAGAGCTCTTCTTCTTCCTCTTCCTCCAGCCCACCATCTCTTCCTCACCCTCCAGCTTTCTGACTTCTCAGTATCGACAGACTGCACGCGCGCGCGCGCGAGAGAGAGAGAGAGAGAGAGAGAGAGAGAGAGTTGTGACTTTGGGGATTTGACGGCATTTTGGATTCAGACTCGACATTGGGACCGAGACATTGGGTGGGGGACTATTTGGGATCGATATCGATGACATTGTGTTGACAACATTCTCATCTCCTCCCTCCTCTTCGTTTGATCCCCCTCCTCCTCATCTGTGTATGATCTGAGCCTGGCACATTCTTCCTGTGTGTGGCGCCAGGCTCCTTCACACCTTGTGATGATGATGATGTATGTTCTGTCTGCATTGCGACATTAATTGGTCGGATTATTGGTATTACAGTCTTCCTGTGCTATCTTGCTCTATCTGAGAGAGGTCGGTTCTTGGTTCTGGTCTGCACCATATCGGTATGTGACAGTTTGGTATCGGAGCACACCTCTCAATCAGAGGATCTGCCCAATCAAGAAGCCAGCTTGATTGATTGATTGATTGATTGAATGATTGGTTAATCAAGTAGGAATTTGCAAGGATTTAGTCCCTCGGCAGTGTATGAAAGTGTCGTGCCCGCCCTAAGTGAAGGCGGGGCTGCAAATATATGGCAATATCTGTTTATAGGCCTATGAGATTTTGGCAAAGTTTGGTGGGCGCCAGACAGTTGTCACGCGCCAGTTGGTTACATCCTCCATTCTCGTGAGAATCAGGAATAATTCGTGAGCCTTCGGGGCTCTTCCAGGAACACAGGCGAAGCAGGGAGAATCTCACGTTTACTCCTAGGTGGTTGTGCAGGCCTAACCCAATCGGTCCCAGGCCACTGTCTGAATGGGCCTGGGCAGACACTTTGGCCGCATCAGAAGCTACTGGAAACACACGAGGCGCAGCCAGACAGCAAACTGGACGAGTACTTTCCATAAAGGAAAGAGCTCGCCACTGGTGGGCTCGTTGAGGCACTAGGCAGTGCATGAGGAAGCGCTGCTTGAGCATGTGGACTGTGCGCTGTGCGCTAGCGCTAGTTGCCAGGCAGCGCGCGCAGGCGCTGGAAGAAGGCAGGGCGCTGCTGAGGGCAGCGCCATAGCCAGCCTTACATAGCCAGGGCTTGGCTTGGACAGCCAGTGGAGGTGGTGGTGGTCTTCATGTATGGGGAGGAAGACGTGTATAGAGAAGATGAGAGAGAGAGAGATGAGGATGAGGATGTGAGGGCACGTACCTGGTCTTGGCGATGGTCCACAGGGTCAACATCTTCATGTACTTCGGTTGCTGCTGACATCAACAGATTGCATTGTCAATTCGTAGGCTGGTAGTAGCTGTGAGATTGTAGTCCGGGCGCTGAGCGCCAAGTAAGGAGGAAGGGCTCTGATACATATGTTGGTGGTGGGAGAGTATCCTCTCATTGACATTCGGATTCGGTGCTTTGGTTCTCCATTGGTGTCATATCAGCGCATTTCTGCTTTCTGGACAGCGTTGGACTTTCTGGCTTTCAATGTGATTTTGCATTCTGGACTTCTGTCATTTCACTATCGCTCATTTTCCTTGCAATTGGGTATTGGAGCAGGTTCGAACCACTCCGCTGGTTTCTTCGCAATAGCTGTTTGGTGCTTCGTTGGGAAATGGCGGGGCAGTGATAATGCTTGTGCGTTGGTGTATATGCGGCCCTGAGTCGTGAGGGCGTGCCTGGAATGCTATGTGGTTACAGAGGGGTGCACGCTGGATGATGAGAGCTTGCTGACGTGGCAATTTAAGCCGAGGTGGAACTGCATTACATTGTGGGTTGTGCCAAGGCATCGACTGGTCATCATAAATGCACGACAGGTTACTGATCAGAAATCTGTGGTTGGGGGCAGCATTATGAGGTACGTTGCTTCTTACCTTATCTACCCTCTTCGTTGCTTCTTACCGTGAGTAAGTGAGTCTTGTCTTGAGAGTCCTCTCATTGTGAGGTGTCGCGAGCGCTCAACCTTGAGAGTTGACATTCTTCCTGGGGACCAAGCTGGTGAGAGACGGGTGTTGCCTCTGAAGGGCCCTGAACGAAGCACTCGGGTCACGGTCACCATGCCAACCCGCTGGGACTAGTACACGCATGCTTTGCCGCCTGTCCTTTGGTCTGCTTGCTGCACTGTAGAGGTCATGTCAGGCAGGCCAGCCCTACGAGGGAGAGACGAGTACCGAACCGTCTAGAAAGAGACTCCGATGGGGATATATGACTCGTGCTGTACGTGAGTATAAAAATAGTATGGACGGGGCTGGCCGGTCTGGTACTGGCTTGGGGCACAGGGGTGGGCCGATTGCACACCTTTAGACACGCTGCTGAATCAGAACTTCAGGACGTCGACACAAAGTGACTACTCAAGAGGGATAAAGGGGGAGGGAAGATTCCAGTAAGTGCTCCATTGCTCAATATTGTAACATTTCCATTCAGCATGCATTTGTGAGGAACCAGCCCTCAAGGGGCCCTATCAGACATCACATGTTCTGGGCTAAGGCTCCCAGCAAGCCGAGTGCCCGCCCTAAGTGAAGGCGGGCCTGAATATTCATCAGAGGCCAAAACTCGACATTCTCATATGTGGGTATTCAAGCTCTTGCAGCACGCCAGTTGGTTGGGTAGACGCGTGAGCCTCACTAAGCTGCGTCAGACAGTTAGCCCAGGCCTAGACAGTTGCGCCTGGGCACATACACACAAAACAGGGCCGATACATTGGGAAGCAGGCCATCGGCCTTTGGAAAAGCAGTACTGCCAATGCACCTGCCTGGGAGCCCTGCACAGATGCAACAAACAACCCAAGTCCGGAGACTCAGGCCGTGCCCAACTGAAAAGGGCCCAGGCCCTCAACTGTAATCTTGGGCCTGGGTGCAGGGTCTGGGGCCCAACCGGAAGCTACTGGAAGCTTCCACCCATGCCACACGCAGCATCCAGGAGGCTGCCTCACTTGCCACTTCCATAAAAGAAGTGATGTAGGTAGGATAGTCAGGTAGGCTGGGCGCTGGGCGCCAGACAGAGAGGAGCGACTTTGGATACTGTGTTGGTGTGGCCTACGGTCTTGGACATTGACTCATTACTTCATTGTATTGCTCTATATGGATGGTCTTCTCGGTGCATTTGTACTCTTTGTTTGGACACGACAACTTGGACAACTGTGTGAATTCGCAACTTGGTTTTCTGTATATCGTTCACACTCATATTCCTTGGACATTTCAACAAACTATTTTATTTTTATTTTTGATTAGTTAGCTGTGATGGACTGCTAACAGCTAACAGACTTGCAGATAGAGTAGTTGTTTATTCTTGCTACAAGCATCTGTTTCAGACTAGTCAAAAGTAGGAATAGAATTGTTTGCAGGGGTCTGAAACTATCTGTTGTTACCACTTGACTGCTTCCTGATAAAATCTGGACCGTATATTTAATTTTGTTTATTAAGTGGTTGGGTGCCACGCTGCAGTAGGTCCCAGCGAGGACACTAGTTCAGATTGCATGCCACGTGTGGCTCTGGGGTGAAGATGACAGAGGTTGAGACACTAGACTAGGATGAGGGGAGGATTGCCCGTGGACAGGCACTTTGTCGGCCGGCCACTTGCTTGGTGTTAAAGACCAGGCAAGGAAAGGAGACAGCGGAGAGGAGCTGAGGAGAGTAAAGTCTCACAGAATATACAGGTGGCAGCAGCCAACGCAAAGATTGCACTAGCAGCTGTAGCAGCAGTGCACGTTAGAGCCAAGGCCGAGGCAGCAAAGGCTATCGTTTCTGCAATGTCCCAGGTCTCTTCCCAGGCTTCTTCGATAGGTGTTTGTCAAGGTATATCAAGGCCTTTCAGTGGTCAGTCTGTTGGCATGCAGTACCACCAGCAGCAACCCTTGTCAGTGGAGGACGTTGAGATGAGAGAAACGGATGCCCTTCACACAAAGTTACAGCGTCAGATACAGGAGGTAGAGGATAGGCGAGGTAGAGCTAGAAGAAGAAATCCTAGACTAGAGGTGAGGTAGGTGGAGCTAAACTGGGTAGAAGTTTCAGATGTGGAAGCCCCTAATAAGCAGACACTTCGGTACAGTCAGTGTGGCCGAAGTACAGGCCGTGTCTTCGGAAGTGCTGGCCACACTGATAGCCGGTCAGAATTAAATTCTTGCTGCACAGAGACGCCCCAAGCCTACAGTGAGGCCTGCGCAACCCGTTGTAGTTCCCCCAGCGGTGGCCGGTGCATCTGTGTCATCGCTGCCTATGAGCGGTCTCTTGGTACCTCAGTACGACATATTCCCAGCAGGCGGTTTATCAGTAGATAGTAGTAGCAGACTCCAGGATCCGCTTCATTTGTCCCCATATCACCCATATCAACTGCTGCAACTACAGTGTGGCAGCCGGGCCAGCGGCTTGTGTAGTAGGTTAGGCAACCTGTTTCGCCGGTTCAGTCACCGGTGAAGCGGGCACAAGTGGTTGGTCCACAGCCAGAGATACACATCTAGAGAAAGGAGAAAACGTTGTTGCAGCAAGGTAGTTGGATGGGTAGGCACAGGGCGATGGACATAACCATGGTCTTGACTCTTGGGCTAGAGCCAAGTGTCTTGATCAGTTTCCGTTGTCAGGAGAAGGGAAGTGGCAAAAATGTCGTAAGGTACGACTTGCTACTCATAAGTTCACTGACATTGAAGGGAAACTAGTTGTGCTGCCGGGGCCGCTGTGCGATAACCCTATTCTCTCGCTACTCACATTAGATGCTTACCTACTGGAGTAGGAAGTGAGTCCAACCAGGCTACAGACGATTCTTCTTCTCCTAAACAACGTAGGCTTGGACTACAAGGCCGAGCTAAGTAACGAGAGTAAGGGAATGGATGATAGGAGGAAGAAGAAGCCACCCCGGGATCGACAGAAGGACGATCTTGGGGTATAGACAGAGCG